TTATTTAGGGCACTGCTTGCACCACACAGCTTTGTGAAGAATCTCGGAGCTAGCCTAGGAGCTCTCAATCAGCGTTGCCAGTTAATGACAATGTTGATTCATTGGGGCTTCTCCAGGAGGGTGAGCAGTAACAAGGTCTTCATGGGGTTGTAGATGTGTACTGGGTAATGTCTGGTAGGCAGGGGCTGGGAAAAAGCATTTATTTAGAGGGATATCACAGAGATAATATTGCAAAGAACTCCTTTGTAAATAAAACTTACTTAAAAATCCATATCCAGTCAGGTATGCTGTTTCAACACCTATAATCCCAAAGCTTGGGGTAGCTGAGGTGGGAGGAGCTCTTGAGGCCAGGAGTTCAAGACAAGAAACATCGAAACCCCATCTCTACAAAAAATAAACAAATTAGCTGGGCGTGGTGGCATGCACCTGTAGTTCTAGCTGGGAGGCTGAGGTGGGAGGATCACTGGAGACCAGGAGTTGGAGGCTGCAGTGGGCTATGATCGCACCATTGCACTCAAGCCTGGGTGACAGAGCCAGAGTCTGTCTCCAAATAAAAAAAAAAATAAAAATCTGACTAGGGCACAATAGCTCACACCTGTAATCCTAGCACTTTGGGAGGCCGAGGTGGGAGGATCACTTGCGCTCAGGAGTTTGAGAGCAGCCTGGCCAACATAGCGAAAACCCGCCTCTACTAAAAATACAAAAGTTAGCTGGGTGTGGTGGCGCATTCCTGTAATCCCAGCTATTCGGGAGGCTGAGGCAGGAGAATCGCTTGAACCCAGGAGGTGGAGGTTGTAGTGAGCTGAGATCACACCACTGCAGTCCAGCCTGGGTGACAGAGTGAGACTCCATCTCAGAAAAAAAAAAAAAAAACCTAACTCAATAACTGCAGAAAAGAGGCAACATCAAGCACTTTCAGCGAGCAATGGATATGGTTTGGTACAAACTGAGGCCAGCACTTGCTAAAGTTGGGGAGAGGGAGTCTGGTATGCCAGGGTTTGCCTCCCCTGCAATGTAAGTTTCTTTCTACAGTCCGCAGCCATCTCCTGATCATCTATACGTCTGCCAGTTTGACTCCCTAACTTGCCTTGAACCTTATGCCCTCCTTATGATGTTAACAAATGTCCACTAGGGGTCACTCTGATGTTCTCCTGGAGACAGCACAGGTTGGTGGTTAAAGCAGGGAAGCTTGGCTGGGGATGAGAGGATTGCTTGAGCCCAGGAGTTCGAGACCTGCCTGAATAACAAAGGGAGACCCTGTCTCTACAAAAGAATTTTAAAGAATTAAGCCGGGCGCCGTGGCTCACGCCTGTAATCCCAGCACTTTGGGAGACCGAGGTGGACAGATCACCTGAGGCCAGGAGTTCGAAACTAGCCTGGCCAACATGGTGAAATCCTGTCTTCACTAAAAATACAAAACTTAGCTGGATGTGGTGGTGGGCGCCTGTAATCCCAGCTACTTGGAAGGCTGAAGCATGAGAATCTCTTGAACCCGGGAGGCGGAGTTGCAGTGAGCCGACATCGCATCACTGCACTCCAGCCTGGGGGATAAAGTGAGACTCTGTCTCAAAAACAGAAAAGAAAAGAAAAATTAAAGAATTAATTGGATGTGGTGGCACACACCTGTAGTCCCAGCCACATGGGAGGATTGCTTGAGCCTAGGAGGTCGAGGCTGCAGTGAGTTGTGATCGTACCACTGCACTCCAGTCTGGGTGACAGAGTAAGACCCCATTTCTTAAAAACAACAACAACAAAAAAGACTAAGGACGCTGCTAGGTCTGAACATCAATCGTGCCTGTTACTAGCTGTGCATCATTGGACAGATTATTTAACTTCTCTGTGCCTCAACTGCCAAATGGGAATAACAATAGGACATACCTCATGAGATTGTTATGAAGATTAAATTAGTTAATGTAATAGGAAAGGCCAGGCACGGTGGCTAACGCCTGTAATCCTGGCACTTGGGAGGACGAGGTGGGAGGATCGCCTGAGGTCAGGGGTTCGAGACCAGCCTGGCCAACATGGTGAAACCCCATCTCTTCTAAAAATACAAAAATTAGCCAGGCATGGTGGTGGGCACCTGTAATCCCAGCTACTCAGGAGCTGAGGCAGAGAATCACTTGAACCCGGGAGGTGGAGGTTACAGTGAGCTGAGATCATGCCACTGCACTCCAGCCTGGGCAACACAGCGAAGACTCCATCTCAAAAAAAAAAAAAAAAAAAAAACAACTTATTAGCCAGGCGTAATGGCATGCACCTGTAGTCCCAGCTACCTGGGATGCTGAGGTGGTCGATCACTTGAGCCTAGGAGGTCAAGGCTGCAGTGAGCTGTGATTGTGCCACTACACTCCAGATTGGGTGACAGAGCAAGACCCTGTCTCAAAAAAAAAAAAAAATAGCTGAGGTGGATCTCTTGAGGCCAGGAGTTCAAGACCAGCCTGAGAAACATCGAAACCCCATCTCTACAAAAAACAAATTAGCTGGGCATGGTGGCATGCACCTGTAGTTCCAGGTGGGAGGCTGAGGTGGGAGGATCACTGGAGACCAGGAGTTGGAGGCTGCAGTGAGCAATGATCGCACCACTGTACTCAAGCCTGGTGAGATATATTAGGAAAACACTTAGATTTGTGCCTGGTG